AACATTAACATTAACCTTAACATTAACATTAACAGTAACATGAACATTAACATTAACATTAACATTAACATTAACATTAACATTAACATTAACATTAACATTAACATTAACATTAACATTAAAATTATCATTATCATTAATATTAACAATAAATTAAAATTTAAATTAACATTAGCAGTATAGTAGTGTAATGTTGGAGGGTGAATAGGGCTTTAATTGTGTTTAGACCGTAAGAATTAGGCGAAGTTACTAGACCTTAAGGTTAGTTTTAGCTGTCGAGTAAAACAATTAGTTGTAAATTTAGCGAGTAAGTTCCGTTTGTATGTGAGAAGCCATACGCCATTTTGGAAAAATAAAAGCCATTCGAAGTTAAACGGTTAAGCCACAGGGTTTGTAAGTTTGGTGCGATTATTTATTAAAACCTTAACTTGTCGTTTTGCAACAGTAGCATTAACATTATTATTATTATTATTATTGTTGTGAAACGAATAGCTAACAACTTAAATATCCTAATTGGAATCAGATTCGCTGGATAATGGCAAGCTAGTTGCGTCAATGTGAGGATAGTCAGTTTGAACCATCTGGCCAAATACACACAGAAGAGATGATATTTTTTTACTAATTTTTTTGTCACGATTCAAAATATGTTTTTCTAAGCGCTTCTTTCCACTATTTTGCTTGGGACTTCCCATCGAGAATGAAGGCGGAGGAGTTGAGCGACGTAGAGATGATTATGAGGTTGATGGAATGTCGTCCAGGTCAATGGGTGCTGATTGCGATCTTTCTTCGGATCTTGATCTCGATAGAAATACTCCTTCCTGGCTGCTGATGAGTAATGGTGGGTGGTAGTTATCTTTTTTTTCAGCATATCCGTGGATAACATCAAAAAACTGCCAATCTTTAGCCTCTTCAGCTGTTGCCTCTTCTCCCGTTCCCTCACCAGTGCGATACGTGAAAAAGCTTTTATATTTTTTAACCAGTGCATTCCACTGCATTTTGCAAGCAACCGCATTCTTTTCTGGACCTAACTGCTCTCTGAGTTCAGCCGCAATTTTTCTATAAAAAAATTACCTTTGAACCACATATTTTGTATTTAAAATACATATTTAACTTACTGCGTTGCTCCCTGAAGGTATTAAGTTGAATTCAATTTCCTGACAAATGCAACAATTAAATACTTACAAGTCGTGTAAGTTTTCCTTGCTTTTTTTGCAGGTGGCTCCATACTTAATTTTTTTAGGTATTTATGCAAATAATAAATACTAAAACGTTTGACGTGTTTGTGTTTAAAATNGCAGGTGGCTCCATACTTAATTTTTTTAGGTTTTTATGCAAATAATAAATACTAAAACGTTTGACGTGTTTGTGTTTAAAATTAAACGGATAACAGTTACACATACAGAAATGCCAATGTCACAAATTTCTGTGTCTATATGTGTGTCAAAAATTTTACTAGCCCTACTTGTCAAAAATTTACACGCCTTGAGCTTTGTTACCGATTCACACACGCCCTTAGTAAAAATTTGTTGAAAAATTAAGGTTCCGGTGGGTTATAAACATTCAATTCTAATTTTTAACCACTGTGTGCTGATTTCGTCGTGCAGTATGAATTATGGTAAACGCATTTTGGTAGCAAGGGATGGCGAAGTCCTTGAAAAGGGTTTGGCTTCATTTTTCACTACAGCAGGGGATCTCGCACAATTAAATAACATAACTAACTGGTACATATTAGATTTAAATTACGATATGGGTAAGGTACTTTTACCATACAAGTGGTATGTACATACGTATTCTCAAATCATTTTGAAAAAAAAAATGTCCTTTATTTTACGTTGGTTAATATGGTCACCGTATGTATGCCATCTATTGTTTTGGTCTTCCTCGTAAATGCGTTGAACACCTTAACACTCAATTACGATCAGTACATTGGCTCGAGATGGACCCGCCATTATTTCACCTAAAATGGATTAGAAAGGATAATTAAAAACTAAGAAAAACAGTTTCGATTCCTTACCTCCATGTATTGCTAAAACAATTGTAAAATCTGTGATGAATTTTTAATGAATAACATGGAATAACTGCCTTATTCGCCCGACTCAGGCCGGTTTCGATTCCTTACCTCCATGTATTGCTAAAACAATTGTAAAATCTGTGATGAATTTTTAATGAATAACATGGAATAACTGCCTTATTCGCCCGACTCAGGCCGGTTATTCCATTGAATAACTATCCTGACTTTCTTATTACGCCTTATTCCGTATTATTCCATGCGTCAATAATAGAATTATTCCGACTAATTCTCCTTAAGTCAAATCAAGGCTAAAAGCCTGATTATGGCAACTTAACTTAACTTAACAGAACTTAGAACTTAGAGAGTCAAAATGAAACAGATTTTGTGACATTAAGTAACGTTAAGTTTCGGCTGTTCAATTATAAGCAACATCCATTTAAGAGAATTTTTAAGTGAGGGCCTGTAAGTTATGCTAAGTTGCCATATTCACACCATAAGTCTTGTATAACCGGGCTTTTACTATGTTGCTCATTGATATGAAAAAATACATAAGTATGTATGTGTATAAGTTTTTTCTATAAAAACTAAACAAAATAAAGCAGCAATTTTCTTATTAATAAAATTAATTAGATTGTGATTAATTAAAATGTAATTAATCGAAAAATTAATATCTTTGATTATTAAAAAATTAGTAATCTTTGATTAATTAATTAATCAGGTTTCGATTAATCAGCTTGTTCTGTTAATTAATCAGTCGAAAATCGCAAACATAAATACATACATACTATATCCACGAAAATAAAAGTTGGAACCTAATTTGAACTCGATTTCAGAATTTGACATTCCCAGCAGTGAAGAACCGGAATTTTATGTAAAGGAATCTCGCGATATGGTCTCAGTGATACAAGTCATGCTCAAAGGAGGTACGTATAGGTTTGAACTGGAAATTTTCTGAATTTAAGAATAAATTCTTCTTTTAGGTTATAAGTTCACAGCAAACGAAGTGGTTGGTCTAGTTCTGGAACCTGGAATTTGGTAAGCTTATAATTTCGAACCCATAATTGCCCCTGTTACAAGCTATTAATACATATATTTAGTAATAGTTCCGATAAAAATAGATAATAGATGCTTTCCTTAAAAGTGGAGTAAATTGAACGCAAATATTATGCTTTATACAGCATAATATATCGTGCACCTTTTGTTTAAGATCAACTTTATTCATTTTTTCTCTGTTACAAACTAAAATTTATTTCCAGCATTACAGGAATCAAAGCTTATAGTTTAGGTTTACATTAAATGATAACAGAAGATGTTAAGAGAGTGTACATAATGTTAATTATGTTACAGTAATGTAATAAAGAGCGCATGTTAACTATTAAGATAATTAAGACTAGTAATAACAGCGTAGTAAAGAGAAAGGGTGGTGGGTAAGTAAGTCAACGTTGCCATAAGTCAAGATTTATCTTGAAAATGAAGATCTTTTGGGTTTTTTTTATGAAAAATCTTCAAAAGGTGATTTTTTAAAAAGCAAAATTTTACACCGAAAATATCTTCAAAATGAAGATTTTTGTGTATGATGTAATATTTTTAATGTTTAAGTTAAAGTTGTTAGCTTATTTATATTATCCTTGCTACATCATTGTAAGCAGCAAATTAAGGAAGAAGAAAAATGAAATACGAAGTCCCCTACAATATTATCTGCCTTCTTCTCTATAACATATACTCTAGTGCAGAGCTAGAGAGTGGAGGAAAAGAACAAACGGTCTTTGCATCCCCTCTAGTTTAAATGACAACAATGGAAAATTTCGAGTAAACTGCCATTTAAGAAACATTTGCTGAAGGGTCGATCTACATGTATGTATGTATATCGAGAAAATAAGGTAGGGGGGTGAGATTTATAAAACAACGTATATGTAAAAATTTCAATAAAAAATCGAATTAAAAAGCTCACAATTGTTATGGAACTTTGTCGAATTTTCTTAACTTTTGTACAAAGATTGAAGTTTAGACTTATGGTTTTTGATAGATAACGAGCTATTCTTTCATATAAAAACAAGAAATTTTTAAACAAAAAACACAAGAGACTTTAATTCTCATATAAAAATTGATCGCCAATTTCTTAATGATCCAATGACCGTATCTAAATCAAATTAGTATGGTCCAAAGTCCAAAGTTATGCGATAATATATATGGGGCATTTCACCTCAATTGACCCAACTTTTGAAATCTATGTCTTCCGATCAGGAGGAAATTTGCACCAAGGTTAGTCCTAAAAAATAGTAGTTATGACACAAAATTTCAATGGGATCGGTCAAACACACTNTAATTAAAAAGCTCACAATTGTTATGGAACTTTGTCGAATTTTCTTAACTTTTGTACAAAGATTAGACTTATGGTTTTTGATAGATAACGAGCTATTCTTTCATATAAAAACAAGAAATTTTTAAACAAAAAACACAAGAGACTTAAATTCTCATATAAAAATTGATCGCCAATTTCTTAATGATCCAATGACCGTATCTAAATCAAATTAGTATGGGACCACCCTTGAGGTACACCCTTTCCGATAAAAAGGAATTATTGAAATCAGTTCAAGTGGTCCAAAGTTATGCGATAATATATATGGGGCATTTCACCTCAAGTGACCCAACTTTTGAAATCTATGNAGACTTATGGTTTTTGATAGATAACGAGCTATTCTTTCATATAAAAACAAGAAATTTTTAAACAAAAAACACAAGAGACTTTAATTCTCATATAAAAATTGATCGCCAATTTCTTAATGATCCAATGACCGTATCTAAATCAAATTAGTATGGTCCAAAGTCCAAAGTTATGCGATAATATATATGGGGCATTTCACCTCAATTGACCCAACTTTTGAAATCTATGTCTTCCGATCAGGAGGAAATTTGCACCAAGGTTAGTCCTAAAAAATAGTAGTTATGACAC